CAATTCATGTGAATATGACTGAAAAATTTCATTTTTTCTGAAAAGGTGGTGTCTGTTGTGACCACGCTGTGTATATTAATGCTCTTGGAAATACTGTAGGTTATGTGATGCTTAAACAGATAGTAGAAAGATAAGAAAAAAATATATTATTTTTTTAAACAGTCTTAATTCACAGTAATAAAAAGCTAAAGTATGAATATAATAACAGTAAATGCACCTTAAAACTTTCATTTATTACAAGCATCTCTTTTTGAATTAACAGGACTTGGCTGGCTTTGGGTCTTGGAAATGAGTAATCCATGCTTACTTAAGGAAAAAGCTTGGGCATTTTTCAACTTTTATTAATCTACACGGGCAAATTCATACACAATATTTATAGTTTCACTTTTAACAGTATACACAGTAGTACATCTAGATAATCAACTTACTGGAATATTTCTAAAAAAGAAAGGAAAGAAAAAAAAAAGTTATTTTTAAAAGATGTTTTTATTCTATAAATCTGCCTGCTGTTTAAATTCCCTTAAACTATCATACTTATTGCACAACACTGGTTTCTTTAAAAATGTATACAAAGCACTTGTTTTATACATTATGTACATTGATTCAAGATAAAAGTAAACAATATTAGGAAAAATATTTTTGATTATTTTTCACAAAAGTAAAAAATGCACTGAAATTTCCCAACCTTTATTATTTCAATAAATTGTCTTTTATGAAAACACTGATTGGACACAATATATATATATAACAAGTAAGAGCCCATTTCAAATTATTTTCCCTTCAAGTTTGATATACTTAATTCTTATGTCTGTTTCTTGTAATTTTCATACTTTAAAACTTAAATCTTTTACTTAAGGGGTGAAGAAAAACATTATCAGGTAAACTGTTGTCTACTGTATCAAATATAGCATGAGCATTTTATTCCAATTTAGAAAACATCTAGGGTGACACCCGTGTTTTGATTTAAATTAGGTTTTAGCTCACAAATAATTAATGTTTTTATTAACGTTGTTCTCATTACATAATAATTTAAAGGATGTTGATTCATTATGCTGTGATGGGGAATTGTTGTATTTTTTGATCCTAATATTTCACTGAGTTTCATTTAGCTATTAAGTGCTGTTGCATCAATCACATTGATATTTGTAGATACTTCTGTCGTTGAAGTTGTCAGAAACAACCTAACCTTCCTTATTTGATTTTAGTGCTTGGTTTTCGAAAAAAAATAACTTTATTGCTTAGATACTTGTTTCCAAATGTTTATGATGCTTTTCGTTACACGTGCATGGTACGGTAAGACCTCTATCAGTGTCCGAGTTTGTGCATTTTGTTTCCTTTGTAGAGTTTTCTGTTGTTGAACTTGTTTAGAGAAGTGACATTTATTAATAAACTAGTGTGTAGGCCATCAAAAATGATGGGGAAAGTACTACCCACCCCCATCCCATAATACTCCCTAACCTCACATTTCATAGCTAACTGAATTAAATAAATTTTGCAAAATCAAGCTTGACCAACAAAGAGACAGAAAAGTGCAGTCGAGGCAGTCAAATGTCGGTAAATTCCTTTCTGAGCCAATCAAAATGAATTTGTGGCATATTCATAAAATATTTATTGGTAAAAATCAGTTAGATTAACAACTTGTATAGAGAAGCTAGTGTGTTTTGGCAACACTAAGTTCCAATAATGGCCGTTATGTCATGTCGCTTAGCAACAAAAGTATAACCTAATTTTGTTGTTAGTCTATGTACTGAAGGTATAAAATCAAATGTATAGACAACAAAACTAGAAAAATATTTGATTTCTTAATTTACAGGCTCCATTGATTAAAAACATTGGTGACATAACAGAAAATAGCTTAATTAAAGAAACGATTTAATTGTAAAAATTAAATTTGATATTTTTACTTTCATGATAAACTTCATGCACTCGGCTCTAGGCTAGGTGATCCCACACTACATCTTTACTTTAGGATTATTATACCAACACTTATAAGGTTTCTTGGCACCCCCTCACTAAAATTGTAATGGGCAGACAGTAATTGAACTATTCTATTTGGATATTATTCAATTAATTCATTTTGGCTTTTATGACTCCTCGTATTTCGAGAAATCAAGCACGACACACACTGGCTTTTATGTAGCTTAGATGTATTGGATATCGACTTAAAATAACTAGATGAAAAAAATTGTTTTCACTGTTGTCAAACCTTGGCCTGTAAGACTGTGATGTATTTTTTTTACTTCATTTTAAACTCTGCTCTTTGTTTTTTCCTAGTCTGTTAGCATTTAAAAAACTGAATTTAAGTTTTTTTTCACTTTACATGTATCTGGTTCGATAAATTTTATCTTGAAAACTGGGTCATAACTTTTAAACTATATGCATACACTAACTCTTCCATTTACATCGATCTGATATAAAGTCATTAAGAAATTAGGGAACAATATCTGAAATAAGTAGTTTAAATCTGTGTTAACATTGTTTTTGGCAGCACGTGCTGAAAATGAAAAATTCAAATCGTGCACCTAGGCCTATGCTGCATCATAACAAGTAGGTGCACCATGCAGATATTTTTCCACTCCTGGGAGTCAGGTCAAAGTTAGTCTGCCCACGCTTCTGTCAGCCTCAGTCGCACATTGTTTGTCCTGTCTGTCAGTATTGAGTGATATTCCCTGTGATTATTTTTGCACCAAACTTTCCAAAACCCCTTAAACAGAAGTGTTCTGTATTGATTTATTTATTTTTTGTCTTTATGTTAGATTAAATTAAGTTTGGATCTCCAAAAATTAGTCTCCCAGAATACATCTTTCCTTTATGACATTAAATCAATGGGAAAATAGTCGCCAATTTAATCGATCCTCCTAACATTGTATTTTTCTAAGAACACATCTTTCCTTTATGACACTAAATCAATGGGAAAATAGTCGCCAATTTAATCGATCCTCCTAACATTGTATTTTTCTAAGAACACATCTTTCCTTTATGACATAAATCAATGGGAAAATAGTCGCCAATTTAATCGATCCTCCTAACATTGTATTTTTCTAAGAACGCATCCCTGACGTAAATGGAAGAGTTATCTAATGGAATAATCATCTCATATATATATTTGAGCTACATTTTATATTACTTGATTGAGGAATACTGTTAAGCAAGTTATCTCACAAAAAATGGTATTTTCTTTAATATAAAAAGACACCCTTACTATCTTTACAAATTTCCAAAAACTAGAAACACTGGTTCAGCTCATGGCCAATATATATTTCTCAAATCCTGAATAGAAAGTTGTATATATACTTACTTTTACAACATCCGGTTATTTTCCTTAAAGTTAATAAATGCCAGCTAACCATCTCTTACAGCTATATGTTGGCTAGTATAACAAAATTTAAAGGCTTTGTTCAACATTGTAGTAAAAATAAGAACAGCTGTACAATAATTCTTTTTTTTCCATATTTACAGAAATTCAAACTATCTAATGTTTAGTAGGATTTCCTTATTCTTAAATGTTGCATGAAACAACTAATTCAAGTTACGATAAAATATTTTCCAAATTTCACTTGCCTTACCATAACATACTTTAGATCAGCATTTCTCAAGCTGGGGTCCCATTAAAAAAAAAAGGGAGGTGTCACAAAACTATTGTAAGGGGGGGGGGGCATGAGACCGTAACAAATATTGTGATAATGAATATTTTAGAGTAATTACAGTAAGTTGCTACCATTTTGTGTGTGTGGGT